GACCTCTCTGGCAGGGGATCCCAAACGTAAGACGTACCATGGACATGTACAGTCCTCATCATTGCGGACCGGTGGGGCGTGTCAGCCAGTATGAGTGTGCACACTGTTGAAGCCGTTCTCAGCCTTTTTGTTGAAACGCGTATGCGACAAAAAGTGGTAGAAAACGAGTAATACGAAGGATATAATACCCTCCAACAACTGGTGCAGAACGACTTTGGCACCGCGCCAAACGCAGCCGCACTGACACGCCCCACCGGTCCGCAATGATGAGGACTGTATACCTTCTGGATTGTCTTTAGACCATAATTACAATTCCTCCTTCCTCACCTGCTGGTGACCTCTCTGACCGAGCCCAGAGCCCAAAATTCGTGCTGAGTGTAGGTGGGCTCCCTCTGAAAGACCTCTGTACCTCTGTAACATTCTTCGGGGAGGTACGCACTGAACAAGAAAACCCGTTTACGGTTGCCATTCAGAGCCGCATCACACGGAACAGTTTTTATACCGACCGGCCGCCTCCACCTGGCATGGTTCTCTAGTAAGTAGTGGTGCCTCTCGTCCGTGGCTGTAGAAGAGAAAAAGAACGGAAATCCATCCTTTCGGAACACAGTGATTGTGATGTAGGTGAGAACATAGCGGCAGGGGTAGAGGCATCCTACATCACAGTCATCTGAGGTCATTGCAGCGAATTCAACGCCAATGATGATGTCTCCAAGTTTCTCTCTTGTTGTTGTAACCTCGGCATCGTTGTTAATTCTGTTTATGTTGCTATGCCACTCGAGGTTTTGAGGTGGAAATCTTTATTTTACGGCCTAACGTTTCGACGTGGTCGTCTTCTTCAGAGGCCTAAACGCGTTTCGAGGTTAGGAAATGAACACTACCTTACTAAGCGCCCAACCAACCCTAGCAGTTCCGATGGCGTGATCGGAACTCAACCCAAAGGCCCCACAACACGAATAGTGCACTCACCAAGCTTCCACCATATATCCGCAATCACATGCGGCTAGTAGTTAGTAGAGAATGAGACTTACTATAGCGTTTCCTGACACGTTTAGAAGCGAGGTTCTAAACCGTGCAGCAGAGAAGACGACCACGTCGAAACGTTAGGCCGTAAAATAAAGATTTCCACCTCAAAACCTCGAGTGGCATAGCAACATAAACAGAATTAACAACGAATGAGATGCTCTTCTTATTGAGAACGAGCTATGCACCTTATGACAAACGTCAGAGCTGAGGACTGTTGCTTCTACTTGTAGTTTCAGTTATTGCCTCTGATCCCCTCGGAGTGTATAGGCACTGAAGGAGAGCTTACCTTGATCTCGTCTCAAAGCGGTCCATGCCACTCTTAGCCACTGATCGCTCATTTTCAAAGCCGTCATAAATATGGGCATGTTTTTCTCAGAAGGAACCTTAAAAACTTCAGTTGGTTAGATTCTTCTACTGGCTTTGCAACCACTGTTTTCAGGCATTCGATTCGTGTGTTGGTCATATTGTAAGCGAGAAAACAACAGAGAGCACACTGCAGCTTCTCGAATACATAGCGGACCGGTATCTGAATCTATCAATGGCTCTTGTAGGAGAAACTCATAGTGCTGTTTAGTTTCGGCGGTATACCGTTCCTCAATCATACAATCGACGATGACTTGGATTTGTTCAAAATTATGGGACGTCTTGAAGCCGACCGAGCACTTGGAACGTTCATGTCTTCATGGGTCTCTGTTGACTACAAGAATGTAAAGCAAAACGCTTTGTACATCTCACAGGTGGGCTCTGAACTGTTTGCGAGTAGGGGGTAAACTGAGGGGACGATCGTAATCGGTCGCGTCGCCGCGCGCGGCGTAGCGCGGCAAGTTCTCAGTTGCATCAAATTCTTGATTAGAGCAGCGAAGCCGTAGCATTCAAGTAAGACAAGATTCCATGACCAGGGCACATCACTGGTTGGGGATTTTGGTCGGGTCCGTACGACCCCTCTTTTTTAGGGGTTGGTGCTTGGTACGACATCCCTCCCCCCTCTGGCCTTCCGCCCTCCTCATCGAGCTGTCGA